GGACACTAAAAATATATGCGTATTGTGCTCATTAGAATTGTTTATAAATTGAGTTTTGAAACTAGCTTTTTCATAAACAATATTGGAATTTTGTAAAGCTCAAGATCTTTAATTAGAATTCAATTTATAATAACAATATTGTTTAAATCAACATTACTTGTCCTAAATAACCATTATTATTTTGGGAAAGTAATGTTAATTTAATTTGAATATATTAGAAGACATTTTGAAAATATTTTAAATTAAAGGAATATTATATGTACATTAATTTCGAAATATTTATGACCTTAACATGGTCTTAACCTTGTTTTGCCTTAACATTGGCAGAGGTAAGGACGGAACTGTACAAGGAAAATGTAAATTTACCTAAAGCATAAAAAATTTTCATTAGAACCATTAAATGTTGTATTGCATAAAATGCATTAATTTGATTGATCTGACGAGAAATAAATATTATTGTTCTGGAAATTGATAAATCCAAACTCAAAACACAATCCCTATTTTTAAGTAGATCAGATCCTTTTCATTTATACTCTTATTATGAGAAAGGCAGTCTACATTTTAATTGAATATTTTAGCTGAACTCGAACCATAATTAAAGAAATGGCATGTAAGTACTTAATAAGCCCTAAAAGTTGTTCAACTACTATAATTTTTTCAAACTGACACATTCGAAATTTAAAATTTTGAAATTTGATGAAATTTTTCAGATTAAAAAACAAAATTTCCAAGAATTTCATTTAAAAATTTCTTATAAGAAAATTATTCGTTACAATCATAATTAGTGGTGCTTACGTGATTGAGCAGTGAAAATAACAAAATACTTGTTAATTATGTAATTGTGATTGAAAATTTCAAGCTTTCAAGAATATTTTAAAAAAATTTTAACTCACTGTTTAATAAGGTGTTAAAATATATGAAAATCTGAAAAATTCTTAAATAAAAATCCCCATTTTCTTTTACACTTACCCTATATTCACGAGTTCATGTCCCTTTTGATTTTATATTTGCAAGAAAAAAATTCTTATATTTACGCTTAGTGAAGAGTAAAAATTTATTTGAAGAAAATCTCAAGATATAATATAAATTTTTTGAGCAAAGCATTTTGATTAAAAATTTTTTTAACCATTTACCAAATTTTACTAACCTTTGAACCATATTTAAATTTAATCTCAAATTAAATGCGTCACAAATATCACAAATTCAAAAAATTCTTGTATAAAATTTTTAATTTCACGGTTATTATGATCAAGAGAAAAAAAATGATTTCTGGAAAATGTTATACTCGTAATGGTGTGATTAACATTGTTTTTGCTTTCGTGTTTCAAAAATGAAAATTTCATTCATAATTTAATTTTCTATTTAAAATAATTCAGGATTTTTGAGCAATAATTTTAAATAAAAATTTTTTTTTTAAATAAAATGAAGAATTGAAAAATATTCTTTAAGGTTTTTTCACTAATCTTACAACGAGGAGGCTAAATTACAACATTAGAGTATTACGGGTTTCTCAATTATCTTGAAATTGTATACACCAATCTTGTATTGTAAATAAATATTTCACCGAAAATTTTAGGAGCCCTTAATTTATTTGGAAACTTGAACTAAATATTGGAAAAAATTTGAAATTATTAGAAATATTTTCTAATATTTTAAGCTTCTATTAAAAACATATTGTATAGTAAGTAGGTCGATCATTCCGCTTTCAATATATCACGGCCAATACTGTCTAAATAAAAATTAATTTATTTCAACATAAATCATTTTTGAAATGCTATAGAGCTAACTCCATGAAATTTTATTAAAGTTGAGAATTCAAAATCAATTTTATTATATACAATGGGCAAAAACTGAGGTTTCCGCAATATAAATTCAAATTTAATTTTGTATTCAATCATTTTACCATACATTTACAAAATAATTATATGCTATAAAAGATGCAATTAAATACATAAACAATAATTACAATTAAGTACTATACAATTAATTTCATCACAATTAAATACTCGTGTAATTTCTATTAAATATCAAATTAAATGAAAATATCTTAGAAATTTAAATTACTCCTTCTATACCTTTGATATTGCTTTTCTACTAATTAACTTAAATTTCAAATTACAAACAAATTGAAGTATTAGATTGCATGCCAGAATCGCTATTATAAAATTAATTATACTAAAATTAGTAATTGTTACTTTACTACTGTACCGTGTACGCATAAAGTGGAATTGAAATCAATTATTTAGAAATTCAACCCTGAAAAACACAAACACAAACCCCCATACATTCAATCAAACGCAACACTCAAAATAATCTAAAAATAAATTTTTCTTAATGAAGAGAGAAAATTTTTCTATTTTTATTTTTCTCAAACTTTAATTTTTTTTTTAGTCCTTTCATCTTTTATTACACTTCTTTAATTCGCCTGCGTATATGCTACAAACTAACTGTGTATAAAAAATTTGAAAAGAAATAAAGGGATTAAAAAAAAATTTTTTAATTTTTTTGTATGCATATTTTAATCCTTGACTTGGATATTTTGTATACACCAAAAATAAAAATAAGAAAAAAAAGCAAATTAAACCTTTTTGCAATTATTATTTGTTTTACAAATTTTAAATTACTTTTTAGTGTTTTTATCGTTTTCTTCCAATTTTTTCATTTTATTTTTTATTGTTAGCACTTTGCCAAAAAAAAAAAATTTAAAAAATTGTGCTTATTATTTTCACTCTGTCCGTCTGTCCTAGTACATGTTTACAAAACTTCTACGCCCTTTAGAATAGATACCTCAATCATATGTACATAGATCTTTACTAGAACCTTATTTCCGTAAAAGAAAACTTTTACCTATCTGCCCCCATCTGAGAATTGTAGCCCTCCCAACGATCCTAAAATGCCTTTTTTTGACCAATATATTATGTAGCAAAACCATAAGCACTTTTTAAATTTTGCGATCACCGAATAATAGTGGCTAATTTAATCTCTCCTATCGCGAAACAGTACAGTTGAACCTTAAAAAAAAAAACGGGCATTAAAATTAATCATTATCTGAAATCCGTTTCGTTTTCATATTTTTGAAACAACTTTTCTCCTAGACACGCTGTATGAGTTAGAATTTATTTCGTTAGAATAAATTTCACAAAATTTATAAAATTTTAATTTTTGACATCTTATATTTTCAAAATTGCAAGCTTTCTCAAATTTATATGAATGGCGAGAGCTAACGGTAAATGTCATGCAAACCAAAAATAAAGTTATTTTCCTTAACTGTCGCAATTAACCATTAAATTCGAGCATTATTTTAATATTTCTTTAATTTTTTTTTTTTTGCATCATCCTAAGTGTATGCAATCTAAGTGTATGCAATCTTTGAAATATTTTTGTGTAGGAAGCAAGTAATTTTAATAATGAAGTAGATTGATTTTAAAACCGGTATTTTTACTTGTTGAAGGCAAAAGTGCTACTTTACAAAACACAATTGGTTTGATCCAACTTTATTTTATTGTTTGAATTCTTTCCCTTTAATTTCCCATATTTAAAATCTCACTTTTTTTCTGTAAAAATTGTGAATTGTGAAAGCACATAGCGCGTATATTTTTTTTTTTTTTTTTGAAACAAAAAAAGTAAAAAGTTATAAAAAGTGGGAATTAAAAAAGTTTCTTTTCTCTTTAATTTTTATTTTGCAAGCGGTTATTAAACTTTTTTCTGGTTTTTTTTTTTAATTTTCATTTTCGTTGGGCAGTCAAAACCTAAATACATAAAAAAAAAATTTGAAATTGAATTGGAAAATAAAAAAAACGAAAATGAATGAATTGCAAGCCCAAAGGAATTCAAAATATTTTTTTTTTATTTTTTTTATGTAGAAAACAAACTAAAATGGTTTTACTAACCTCTGAAAAGATAAAAATAAAAGTAACAAATAGAAAGAGAAATCAAAATAACCTAAAAAAAAATGGTAATTTTTAATTTAATTTTTTTTAGACCGCGTGTCCATGACCTAGAAAATAATTTTTATTATTTTTCTATATAAAACCTTTACTGAGCAGTCTGTAATGAGGTTTCCGATAGAATACATAATTTTTTCCACCATAAATTACAATGTTCACAAATTTTGATTTTTTTTTTTTGTTTGTGTTTCTTTAGAACTTTCGGACAGAACTGAAAAAAAAATGAGCTTAACGAGTTCATGTTGTCTATATAGTAATTTTTTAATTCGCTTATCCGCCCTCAGTTTATCTAAGTACAAAAATTTCTGCCACCCTTTGATGCGAAAGCCGAAATTTTACAAGAAAAAAATAAATTTATTTGGAAATTTATTTGTTTACAAGTTTAAATGGGCACTTTCTGAGAGTCCGATAAATTCCATTAAAAAAATTCATGTTTGACAAATTTTAAAAAGCTGGAATCTTCCTCTTCCTACTATAAAGTATCAAATACCAACGTGAGAAAATTGCTGCTCAAAGTTATAATATTCGGAGTCCACTTCGCTTTTGAATTCTTAAAAAATCAATTTTTTTCATAAGAAACTTTATTCCCCCTTATTCCTCTGCCAACCTATTGTATAATTGTTTGAAAGCTTCATCAAATTTCAGTGAATTTTGATAGTAAAAATTTTGTCCATATTGACCTGACTAAACGATCAATTTGACCATCAATTATATTGCTATTTCTACTAATTTTTTGCTCTCGTCCTGTATGTAACTATAAGAGAATAAGAGAATATAAAACGAGAAGAATTTTAGTAAGGTATTATTTTTCTCAATATTAAATTTTTTTAAAGGAAATGTGCTGCACTACAAATCATTGCTGCGACCTAAATTTATGGAAATTACTTTTATGAAACAAAAATATTTTCTGTTTTTCTTTTTCTTTTTTTTTTTCAAAATTGTGTAAGAACAATAATAAAAATTTCATTTGATTTTTTAATTTAATTATAGAACGGAAATTTAATTTTAAATAAAAAAAAATAAAATTGCAACTATACTAACTATATTGTTATTATATTTATAATTTCAGATAAATGGCATTGATGTTAGCCAAATGCCTCATGAAGAGGCTGTACAAATGTTCCTTGAAGCACCTGAACCAATTGTAGTTGAATTACGTCGTAGACAAAATGACACAACACTTAAGGAAATTAATCCATCATCAAATTTATCAAGATCATCAAGTTTTTCACAAGTAATAACAACATCAGCAACAACAACAACAATACCAACATCAACAGCTATAACATCTTCGAATGTACAACAATCACATAATAATAAATCACCAATAAAATCATCAGTAAAATTAGATAATGATGGTAATAAAATATTAGAAAATAATGATTTAAATAATATTAATAATGAAAATATAAAAAAATTAACAATACCTCAATATAATAAAACGCCGACAGCAGCGACTACATCAATAACATCAACAACAACAACAACAACAAATAATATATTACAACAATCAAATTCAGTACCATCATCACCAATTAAAATGTCAACAATAACAATAAATAATAATAATAATTATAATAATATTAATAATAATAGTAATAATAATAAAATAGGAAAATCACCAATAAAATCAATAAATTTTAATGATAATAATAGTAGTATTGCTATTAATAATAGTAAAAATTTACAAAATTTAAATTTAGAATTTCAATGTAGTAATAATGATACAAATAAAAATAATTCAAATTCAACAACATTAATTGCCTCATCAACAACAACAACAACAACATCAGTAGGAACAACACCAACAATATCAAATACAATAATGATAAATAGTAATTGTAATGTTACATCACCTGTATGGAAAATAATACGTATGGATGATCAAAATTATTTAACAACATCAAAATCATTACCAACATCACCATTATTAAAAAATCATCAAACAGCAATTATACAGCAACAACAACAACAACAGCAGCAGCAACAGCAACAATCAATATTAAATGATACAATAATTAATAATAGCAGAAATCAACAGCAACAACAACAACAATCTATTCAGCAAATGTCTGCATCAACATCATCATCATTACAATCAAGTCAATCATCACCATCAGTAACAACAGTTGAAAATCAAAATAAAAAATTAATATCAACAGCTGTACAAACTGAATCATTTACAACTGAATATATTTTTAGTACAACTGAACATCAATCATTAGTTGATGATCAATTAATTGAAAATGAACATAATTTATTTGAAGAGTGTCTAGCACCGGAAATTGATATTGAGGTAAGTTTTTTTTATTTATTACTATATTCTATTATACATACATTAGTATATGCATTATAAAATACTTAATATATGAGGGCATCTTTTTTTTATAACATCCCTTGAAATTTGAAAAATTTTTAATTACCTACTGTACGTGAAATACGTGAAGATATGTGATGAACTATATACTTATAGGTTAATGCAGTTAATCATTTTATAATTTTTAGATGAAAAAAGGGGTCCCAACAAAACACAAGAGAAAATATTGTAGTTTAATATTGAAATATTGAAAAAAAAAAATATTTTTATTTTTAAATTAAAAATTTTTTTAAGAGTATGGAGGTATTATTCATACACACATGTGTATGTATGACAGGATTTTTGAAAATTTATTTATATGTTTAAATGTGATTGGGGTTCTGTGAAAGTCAAAATATTAATTAATCTCTGTTGGAAAAGAAAATGTTATTAATTTCAATAATAAATAAAAAAAAAAGCATAGTATTTAACGGTGGCTAAATAGTGGCTTTTCAAGGCAATTATAATCGACTTTTGACAAGGATAGGGAAAACATTTTTGTACAAATCGTGCTGGAAATAAAATCAATGACAAGAAATTTTTGATTCGTCAAAATGAAAATCAATAAAATCAAAAATAATGAAATTTTTTTGCTTTTTAGATTTTATTAGGGCCCTTAAAATTTTGGCATACAAATGGTTTTCGTGCTATATCTTCTGTAATATAAAAGATTTCTCAACATTTAGTGACTAAAATTAAGGTTGGGAAAAGTGGACGAAATTCTGTAAAAAAAAATTTCGAAGTTTCAAAAAATTTCGAACCAAATTACCTGATTAGAAAACACTGAAAAAATAAAAAAAGGGAATAATTTGATTTTTTCTAAAGTTCGAATGATTGGTATTCCGAAAGTAAACAAAATACATAATCAAGTAAGTCTATTTTATAAGTAATCTAGTAGGTTTATTTTAAGTCCTTTACTAGACCTTTCAGAAACAATTTGTTTAAAACCTCTATCTTTTTCGGAACGGAAGTTATAATCAAAAAAGCTTAGATAACTAGAAATTTCGTTAAAATCCCTGTATCTCGAAAACTCTTGAGATTTCGCACCTAGTTCGGAACAAAAGTTTTACCCATTTTCGACCCTTTAACCAAAGGAAAGGGTGCCTAGTCTGCCAAAAAAGTTGTGCGAAAACGGAAGCCTCATTGAAATAATTAAAATTAGGTCGGGTGTTTTAAAAAGAAATTTATATACCTCTCTTTATACATCTCTTTAATACCTTTAAACATATAAATCCAATTCTTTTAAAATCTAATAGGACATTAAATCAAAATCTTAATTTATAAGTTCTATAACAAAAGTTCTTAGGTACAAAGGTTTATCTATCAAATTTGTTGTAATATAGCGTCCTGATTAGAAATGCAGCTAGCCAGACCAATAATAAATGTTTGAAAAAATCTAAATTTTCTAATTTTCAAGCAACTGTAGCTAACTATATTTCTGTTAAAAATATTTCTAATCTATTATTGCCACATTAATTTTGAATATTTTACAAAATCTATCCATTACTTTTAATTTCAATTAAAACCCATTCCATATATTTTTTCCAACTTCAATTACTATCCGACTAATAAACTTTTCTCATATACCCTATAGTAGAATAAAAAAAAAACTTTAATTATAGGAAATTGGATATCTATATACGCTTTTAAATAATTCCAATTGTCATTTCAAATAATGAAAAAGCTTAACTAAAGAATATGAGATCCTATTTTAATTTAATATTTATATTAAAGATTTATCTTAATTTTTAATGGCATTTCTAATGGTTTATCATATACAAATAAAAAAAATTTTAGTATAACATTTTATACACGTTTGTATATAATTATATATATTTTAATAGACATTATTACAAACAATATTAAAAGTTCATATCTTTTATTATCTAAAATCTTTTAATATTAATTTATATAAAATGGAATATTTTTAATAATAATAAACATTGAATATCTTTTTGTTTGTTTGTTTTATTATATTTATGCAAACATATAATGCCCCCATATATACATATATATTGGTATATGTTTTGATATATAATATATATATCCTTTATTATAATATCATTTTCTATATTGACAACAATACACAAATGGACTTCAAATATCCTTTATTTTATTAATATCCTTATTTTCCTATACATTTATATATTTTTGTATTATATACCATTTAAATCGTATATAATATTATAGTCGCATTATATTTTATATTTCGCATGGATTATGCTTAATTTCATATTATTAACTTCCTTTTAAAAAAAAAAAAAAAAAAACAAAATGTAGATCACATTACAAGCCATTGGGGATTATAAGAAATAAGAAAATAAAAATAAACAAGAATAATAATATTATGATTATTATATATTTGCTCAATACTTACACACATACTATACGATATTTGTATATTCGTTATTGTTAATATCGATACAATCGATTCTCGATAATTTTAATAAGAGAAATTAGAAAAATAAAAACTCCTAACTATATTATCAGTGTTTTGTTATGGAAAATGACTGTGTTACACTCAACGTTCAGTGAGAACGACAATTATATCGTAATTAGGTGATATCGGTGAAATAACACTCAATGGAAACGACAAAATTCAACGACCTGTTTTAAAATAAGTAAAGAATATATTGGTGAACAGTGATTTCATAATATGGCTTATTGGTTTGCTAGATTCAATATTTACTTTGCTACTTTTGTAAAATCAACTAAACTGAAAGAAAATAAATATTTTTAAAATTTTTAACCAGTTTCAACAACTGATTTTTATTATCTTCCAAATATGTATATTAAAAATTCATAAATAAATTTATTTTATTTAAATACATTCACTTGATAAACATTTGTTTATAAAAAAAGGTCATCTCTGTTTTGAATTATTTAGAAATTAACAAACAGCTTTACAACCAAATGTGTTCTAGTTCCATTAAGTTTCGTTGGTCAAATTTCCAACTGTAATGACTAAATTAAAATTTCATTTAATTCAACGACACCGAAATTTTTTTTTTAGTAATATGTAGTCGTTGTCGGTATCGTGCGGCATTTTTATTGAGCGTCAAGGGTCAGAGAGTTATAAATTCAATATTATAATGGCTTGTAATAAACCAACTTTGAATGAAAATTTTTAATTTCATGACTGTCTCATAAAAATTGTAAAAAATTTTTAATGAAATAAGAATGAAAAAATATAAAAATATTTTGGAAATTTTTCACTATAGCCTCAACAATTTTAAATGCAAAAATTAAAAAATAAATTTTTCATAAAAATTAAGAAAAAAACCAAATTAAACCAATTATATTATAAATTTTACTAATACAACATCATAGTTGTGAAATTAATAAGTAATGTGCTTATTTACACTAATAATTTAACTTAATGGAAATTTCTTCATGCAACTGCAGAACAGATGGATGACGTAATCAAAGGAACGAGTTAAAGGCAGAAAAATTAATTAAAAATTTTTTCTCCTCGAACTGGACTCGAACCAGTGACCTACCGCTCTCTAGACGGACGTTCTACCAACTGAGCTACAGAGGCATGAAGAAATTGCCGACGAAATGTTCTCTACATTGCTTTACACTGTAATCCACATGATTACTAAGTATTCACATATTAAAATTCAATTAATTGACTATAGTATTTGTAGCAGTAAGAATATTTTGAGAAAATTCCCAGTAATATAGGGTCAAAGAAAATTTGCCCAATATCGCTTTATGAAATGAAGCACCAAAGAACAAATATTTTCATTTCCGTAAAAATTCAAAATTTCCTTTTAACTGCTATTTCTTATACATTTATAAAACATCAATATAAATTTAAAAATTTTTCAAAAAAATAATTTTTCATAGTTTTAATTTTAATTGAATTTCCAATTGTCACAATTCTTTTTAATCGTAAATGATTATAAACTAAATTTAGTAAAAGTATGTATATATGAAATTTTAAAAAATGTCTATATACAAACTATTACATATACTAATAATATAATAAATTTATACATAACGTACATATTTTGCACCTAAAGAAAAATACTCAAACAAATGAAGTATATTATAGTAACAACTATTGTGAACGTGAACCTAAACTCTAATTTACTACTCTAATTTACTGTGGAACTGTGGTTGTCCAATAGTCAAGCTAGTTTAGTATATTTAAACGAAAATTACCGTGACATTTGGTAAAATTAGAGCCATTTTGTCAAAAGACTGTTACTTCATTTAGAAATAAATGCAATCATCGTCTATATTATTTTATGATATTAAGGTTCTTAATAATGATATCTTCCATAATTAAACAATATCATCTCGAAATATTCTAAAATTTTTAAATTATAATAAATTTTGTAGTGTTAATTTACGATTTTCATAAAATATAATGAAAACGAGACTAGACTAGACTATAGTTGACAAGACGGTCAACTAGATGATTTGTAAAGTTGACCGTCTTGTCAACTATATGATACCCGGACAAATGAAAATTTTTACGAGTCATTTAATTTCAACGAACTTTATCATGAATTTAAGAGCCATAATAATATAAATATTTGCTTATACGTATTTACAATGTTATACCTTCAATAATTTCTGAAATAAAGCCAAATATCATAAGCGGTCATGATATTTTAACAGCTTCTATCAAAAATAATGACAATTTCATAAAATTTTGTTGAAAAATTTTGCTTCGTAATGATAAAAAGAGCCGACATCGAAAGATCAGAAAGCAACGTCGCTATTAACGCTTAGATTTGAAATTTTCAACTATTGAAAATCTCATGCACAATTAGAGTTAATCAGATCGTTATAATGCATGTTATTCCAGGGATAACTTTTCTGACACCTGTTGTTAAAAACTCTTTGAACCAAAAGGATCGATAGGCCGGATTTTTGCTGTCTCTATGTCTACTGAACATCGAAGATCAAATTTTTATCATAAAAAA